GGGCCGTCTGGGGCCCTCTTGGGCTGTCCTGAGGCCGTCGCCGCTGTCCTCGCCGATGTCGCTGGCGCCGCTGACGCCCGCCGTCGCTGTCGCCGGCGGTGCCGCCGCCGCCGCCGCCGTCGCCGCAGTCGCCGTCGCCGTTGCCGCCGGCGCCCGCCGTCGCCACCGACGCCGGGGCCGAGGAGCCGCTCGCGCCGAGCCTGCGGCCGCGTCTCTTGCTGCGCGCCCCGGCTGTGGATCGGGAGCGGATCCATAGCAGTCGAGGGATCGTGGCCTCGGGAGCACGGGTCCACAGTTCTGCACGAGAGGTCGTTTTTGGCCTCGGGAGCGCGGATCCATGATTGCTTCTACGAGGGAGAGGGAGCAGGTGTCTGTGGTGCGTGGGCGGGCGGGGGTCCTGTTCTGAAGGTTGCAGAAGCCCTACCAGGCAGCCCGTAGCCTTCTACCACGCCGCAGCGTGCCAGGGGGCACGGCGGCGGACCACCACAACCACATCTACTACCACCACGTCTACCACCACCACCACCTCGACGTCGACCACGACCACGACCACGACGACGACCACATCCACCACCACCACCACGACCTCCACGACCTCGACTTCTACCACCACCACCTCCACGGAGCCGGCGTGGTGGTGCTCCGCGGGCGAAGAACGGTGCAGCACAAACCTGTTCTCTGCCATCGGGGAGGCCCGTCCCAGGGCGAGTGGAAAGCTTGCGCCACGACGTGCCACCGCAGGGGCACAAACCTCCCAGCCGCCCTGGGAAAGGGCGTCCCCTGATGACGAAATATGTCAGGAGGGAAAGAAACACACACAGACACAATCAATCGTCGATTCCCAGGAAAATATTGGAAAATATGGGCAGTGGGGGGGAAGACAGAAACCCAGAAAATATAGGGAACTATGGGGAATGCTCTTATTGGTGTGCATTTATTTGTGTGTCCTGGGGCCCCTTCAATATGTTACTTCACATCGGTCTTCGTCGGCTAAGGTACGGGTCGCCGACGTCGGAGGTGCGCACCGAGCTGACCGAGAGCGCCGTGGCGGGGGCGGTCCGGGTCCTGGTCGCCAACGCGTCTGGCTTCGGCTCCTCGGGGGACGTGCTCCGCATCACCGGGCTCAGCGGCGTCCCTCAGGACGAATCCAGGGAGGAGACATGAAATAATCGATGGGTGAATGTCGGGTCAATGGGAGAAGTGATGGATTAACCTACGTAGGGGCTACCAATGATTTGCCGAGGATGTCAAAGAGTCGCAAGCATGACTGAACCGAGGCAAGAAGCATTGTGACCATGACCAACATGCGTTGGGATCTTTTCGACGATGGTCCTGGTCATGGTTCATGCCAGCCGTCGCCGACTCGCGAGGATGATCCACGAACCGGCGGTGACCAAGATGAACGGTGACCACGATCGGCACCGACGTTTCCGCGCCCAGCCTTGGTGATGGGCACTTTTTTTTCCCCTCTGGATGACGGCGTGTGGACCACCGACGGGTCCCGTTTCCGGCGCCACATCGGGCGGCGTTGGCCTCATGCTTCGGGGGCTGCTTCCCCGATCCGTGGATCCGCCGCCCACGCGCCAGATCCACAGATCTTCAATTCACGTTAGCGCGCGCCCGACAGGAGATTGTGGTCGTCAGCTCCATCCCGACCGAGGTCGCCTCCCTCGTGGTGCAGGCCACGGGGACCGTCGAGGCGGTTGGGGCGGCGGTCGTGCTCAAGTCTGCACTGAAGTACTCGTATCCGGCGGGTTCCAGTGTCGTCAAGTTCGCCGAAGACAACACGACCTACAACGCCGATGAGGCCAACAGCAGCAGCAGCAACACCAGCAGTAATCACCGCATTGACGCCATCATCGATTCTGCCATCAATGCCAGCAGCAACGCCAGCAGTGTATCGACGCCCGCAGTCGGCGCATCGACGCCCGCAGTCGGCGCATCGACGTCCGCATCGACGCCCTGTTCGACGCCCGCTTTGTCGCCCGCCCCGACGAAGGCCTCGCCGCCCACACCGAATCCCGCACCCGTGCCGAATCCTGTGCCTGTGCCGTGCGTGTGGTCGCGGGCGGGCGTTGTGTGCGATTCGACCAAGACGACAGCAGCACGGGCAACCGCGTCGCTGTTGGCACCGACGGACGGACACGCAGGCGCCCCTGCAGCAGGCTCCTCCGCGCCGCTCATGCGACGGGCGTGACTAAGCACGCCCTGGCGAACGCGGACCCTTAGTCGAGCAAGGCTGAGAGGACCCCGGCAGCTAGATCCTGGGAGATCGGGCCTTCGGACCAGGCGCTGCACCTCTTGCGATCGCCGCCGTCGACGTTGAGCATTGTCTCCCGGGCATGCATAGAGAACGCACCGAGCTCAGCGTGTCTATGCACAACCTGGGTGGCCGCTGGTGGAGAGACGTTTCTCCCGCGCCCTCCCGCCACTCTCCGTCGATGCTGCTGCAAGTCCTCCTCTGGCTGTTGCTGCTACCGCTTGCCCGTGCTGCCGCTAACGTGCCCGTTTCGGCACACTCCTCACGCGAGGCGGTCCAGAAAGGGCCTCGCCTCCGAGGGATCGAGAAGTCGTCGTCTCGTCCTCGGCGGATGGCGGCGCAAGGCCTGCGGAAGCAACGCGTCCGAGGGCGCCTCCGCCGGCGGAAGCTGGTGGAGGGTCAGCAGAAGTCAAAGATCTGGACGCCCGAAATGGGTACGGAAAGAACGGGTACAATGCCCAACAGCAGTCCCTGTTCATGTTGAACAGGATTCGCTGTCCACGCCGCCGCGGCCTGTGCCCATTCGAGACAGAAGGCAGCCTGCCCAACAGCGGCCGCTGTTGGTTTGGGACAACATTTGTTGTTGGGCATTGTACCCATTTTTTCCGTACCCGTTTCGGGCGTCCAGAACAGATGCGCCCCCGAGAGGTGGCAATTTCTTCGGATCCAGGGTATCCACAAGCATTCGGTCCATCCCACCACCGTGCCTGGGTTGTGGGTCAGAGTTCTCAGGGATGCTTCTTCGGGTCTCTTCGGGGCGCTCTCGAGGGCCTCTTGGGAGCAGCTTGGGGGCCTCTCTGGAGCCTCTCTGGAGCCTCTCTGGAGCCTCTCGGGGGCCTCTCGGGGGCCTCTCGGGGGCCTCTTGGGGCCTCTCGGAGAGCTCTCTTTGGGGGGCCTCCTGGGGCCTCCTGGGGGCCCCTCGAGGCCGAGGGCTCGACTCGCCCCCCCTCGCGCGCACCGCGTGCCCCGCGGCTGACCCCCGCGCCCTGCGGCCCGGACGCGCACCCCTCGGCACGCGCCTCGGCGGGCCCCGACGGCGGCCCAGGCGGGAGGCGGTCGTCCCCGCGCGGAGCCCAGACAGGAGGAGGAGGGAGGCGGAGGGAGGAGGAGGGAGGAGGAGGGAGGAGGAGGAGGGAGGAGGAGGGAGGAGGAGGGAGGAGGAGGGAGGAGGAGGAGGGAGGAGGGAGGAAGGAGGAGGGAGGAAGAGGAGGGAGGAGGAGGAGGATGCCCCCGGGCCATGGAGAAGTCGTGGCGCGAGGTCTTCTGGAAATCTTCTGCCTCCGAAGTCCTCGCCGGGCCCAGGGCCGTCAACAAAACGGCTCTGGACGAAGCACCGAAGTCTCAGGAGATTGGGTCGAGGCCTCCGAGGTCCACGTCATGAAGAGTCAGAGTCATTGCGTCGGGGGCCTGGGATTCGACACACCCCTCTCACGCTCCGCTCCCCACAGGGCACCAACTGCGGCTCCAGTGGGGGATGGGAGTGATGCGCCTGCCACAGTTCCAAGCGCGGCTTGAGGGGGGGTGTGCGCATCCCGTCCCCGCCTCGGTTCGGCACACCCCTCGCACGCTTCGTGCCCCACATGGAGCCCCAGCGCGCATGCTGTCCTCGCTTCAACCCTGCACCTCTCTGACGCACTTTTCGTTTCCCGCAGCGAGCTCCAGCTATCTATGGCCCCAGTGGGCTGTGCGCATGCCGACCCCGTTCCAACGGCCCGGCAAAGCCCTCGTGCGTTTCAAGGCCCGCAAGGAGCACCAAGTGTTTTGCGGTTCTTCTGAGTAGGTGCGCACTCTCCGTCCCCGCTTCAATGTGTGTCTCAATTTAGTTCGTGGCTCAGTGTGGTTCCAGCTGCGGCCCCAGTGAGGGGCGTGCGCACGCGGTCGCTCCGCCACAATCCAGCGCTTCCCTTGCACGTTTCAAGCTCCGCAGGGAGCTCCAGCTGCGGTCCGCTTGGGGGATGTGCGCATGCCGTCCCCGCTCCTGGCACACCCCTGACGAGCTTCGTGTCATGATCTGAAGCCAGATGGGGTGCGTTTGCGTGAGTCGAGTCGAGGAACAAATAATGGTAAAACCATGCACCTGTCGGAGCTCCGCGCGGATTTCGTGGATCGGCGCTGGTCCCCCTGGCGGCGCCTCCAGAGCCGCCCCTGGCGCACTCCGCGCGCCAGGGAGGGGGCCTCAGCGCGGATCTAAGAAATCTGCGCGGACCTCCAAAAGCGTATGTATATGCCGTCTTGTATTCTTCGAATTGGGGGCTCCAGTTGCGTCCCCAGCCGGGGGTGTGCGCCTGCGGTCGGCTGCCTCAAATTCGGTACTGTGCGCAGGCGGCTCCCTAATCCAGCGCGCCTCTCACGCACTTCGCGCCCCACAGGGAGCCCCGATCACGGCTCCGGTGGGGACTGCCTCTCTCCCGCGTTTCCAACCGTTCCCAGGTGCAGTACGTAAGAGAGGGACACCTCCAATGCCACATGCAGCTGCTGCAAGGCTGTCTCCCTCGCCAGTCCAATGCCGGTCTTCAAGTCTTCGGGCAGGATTCCCTCCTTCTCTACTCTGGTTTATGCGTAGAGGTAACCGTTCGCAGGAGTGACCTTTGGTGCGGGCACAGCCGGGGTCCCCGATGGCTGAATGCGAGGCGGCAGCATCGGCTCGCGCGCCTGGGTTTGGCCACCCTGCGCCCTCCTCAGCCGCGCACCAAAGGTCACCCTTGCCTAGGGCCACTCTTGCTTGTAGCCGACTCCTCGTAGCCATTTTGGCCAAGGTTTGGCTCGGGGGGACGCAGCCTCCGCAGGGTGGCGCACCGCTCGCGTGTGCGCGAGTGCTAGACGCATATAAGCCTCGCCATGGGGGACGACGAGGAGGAGACCATTGCGGCGGCCGCGCCGGAGGCGGAGGAGGAGGTGACGGACCTCATGACGGCCGTCCGCAAGGCTCGATGAAGAAATTGTTTCCACGTCGACCCCAAATGTACATGCACAACATACAGTCGAGACTCTGAGATCAGGACCGCATTGGTTTCGGAAGGGGCCCGCTGTTCCTCAGGTCATTCCATCCCTTTAGCCTTTCTCGTGCACCCAGGCCCTTTTGGTACCTAAAGGGGGTTTTGTTTCTTATGTAGCGGTCCTTCTTGCAGCAGCTTGACTCTGACCACATAACAACCACATGAAAAGCACTGGCAACTTCAGCAGCAACCGCAACAGCAATCCGTGTGACCAGGTGAGAAACCCTGTATGATAAAGCACACGTGGGGAAACATGTTGCATAAACGCAAACTTCTGGAGCTCCGCGTGGACTTCTCTGATCGGCGCTGGGACCCCCCGGCGGCGCCTCCAGCGACGCTCCTTGCGCACTCCGCGCGCCAGGCATGGGCGGTCCAGCGCAGATCCAAAAAATCCGTGCGCACCTCCGACGGTTTCCCCAAACATTGTTTGCGCTTAGGGGTTCTTGCTCAGGCGATCGCAAACATGGATTAAGGGGGCGTGGATTAGCGACGGGTCCCGTTTCCATCGGACATCGCCGATTTCCGCCGCCGAGCAAGGCGGCACCAGCCGCATTTTGGAGAGGGCACCTCCCACGATCGATGGATTTGTCGACCGCGCGCCACATCCATGGATCTGTCGACCGGCCGCTCACGACATGGATAATGCGCGGTAGGAGAAACGCGAGGTGACATGCGACGGCTGACGAGGATGTTCCCCCCTCTTCCGTTGGCGTACTTCATCATCGCCAGTTAGGCGATGAGACATACAACGGCCATGGATCGCTAACCCATGTTCGCGCGCCCCCGGCTCGCTTCCCTTCTGAGGAGCGGGCCCCGTCTGCGGGCCCGGCGGCCCCGTTACTGTCCGTCGCTGTTTTTTTCGTGCCAAATACAGAGGTCTCATGTGCGGGCCCGGCTGATCCGTTCCCGTCCGTCGCCGCACCACAAAGTTTATTCACACAACACGTGGGGATAATTGGCAAACACTTACGTCGGACAGCAACTTGTGGTCACAATTGGAGGACGGTTATGTGCACCAAACAAACAGAGACAGGTCTACCCTTGACTGAATGAGCGGCGCCCCGGCGCCCACTCCCAGCCCCGCGCGCGGCCGCCCTCACGGGCGAACTGGGAGTCGCCTCGCCTCGCCTCGCCTCGCCGCACCACAAAGTTTACAAGCGGTTTGCACCACACGGCGGTAGACGGTAGATTGCACCACGTCGATGGTTTCTCTTCTCCGCACCGTTTACACAACATAGTTTGCACCACGTCGATTGCATCGCACATAGCTTACGCGACATATCATGTACCACATAGCTTGCACCACATAGCTTGCACCACAAACATTGCAACACATAGCTTGCACCACAAAGCCTGCACCACATAACATACAGCACATAGTTTACACCACAGAGCTTGCACGTGATGGCTTGCACGTGATGGCTTGCACCACGATTATTGCACCATATAGCTTGCACTACGTCGATTACACCACATCGCACCAAACGGCTTACGCCGCGTAGCTTGCACCACATAGCTTGCAACACGTCGACTGCATCCCGTAGCTTACGCCACATAGCTTGCACCACATAGCTTGCATCAAATAACGTACGCCACACAGCTTGCACCACATAGCTGGTACCACAAAGCTTGCAGCAGAAAGCTTACACCACAAAGCTTGCACCACATAGCTCACATCACATAGTTTTCACACAGAGCTTGTACAACATAGCATACGTCTCTTGCACCACACAACTTGCACCATACAGCTTGCAGCCCATAGCTTGCACCACTGACATTGCACCACATAACTTCCACCACATAACTTGCACCACATAGCCTGAACTCCCAAGCTCACATATCCACACTGTAATCCGAGTTAGGGGGGCGAACGGTCATTCACTGTCCCTGAGTGCGTGGCTGAAGTGGAACTCCGCGGCGCGGATTCAGCTTGTTGTTGTAGTTGTCGTTGTCGTTGTCGCTGTTGCTGCTGCTGTTGCTGTTGCTGTTGCTGTTGTTGAATCTTTTTTTCTGAAGAATAGTGTTGGTTGATCCCCCCTCACCTGTGCACACTGTTTTTTCTCGATCAAAGTGTGTCCTTCGACGCTCGCACCCAGTTTTTTGACATGGAAGCTCTTGCTGCTCAAACTGTGCCCCTGATCCCCCGGATTACAACAACAACGGCTCCCGCCTGAGACTTTTTCCAAATTTGCTCAGGACCCCCGCTCCTGAGACTTCCTTACAATTTACTCAGGATCGGTGCTCCCGCCTGTGACTTCCCCGCAATTTAGTCAGGACCCCCGCTCCCATCTGAGACTTCCTTACAATTTTCGCAAGCGCGGCGCTCCCGCTTGAGACTTCCTCGCAATTGAACCATGACTTCTTCGCAATTTAATCAAGACCCCCGCTCCCGCCAGAGAACCCTTGACATTTTATTCAGGAATTGCGCTCTCGCTTTTGATTTCCGTGCAATGGATTCAGAAATCGGGGTTCCGACGCTCAGGAAACACGCTGCGCCAAGGACGCCGTTACAATTTAGTTAGCAATCGCGCTCTCGCCATATTCAGGCATCCCGCTTGAATGTCCCACCCGCCCGACCCGCCCGTCAGGGGATCGCCCGCCCGTCGTGGGCTCCCGCCCGAGACTTCCTTCAGGAACGGCGCTTTCGCCTAGGATTTCCTCGAACGTTCACGCTCTTACCCTCCTGCTCGTCCTTCCTCTCCCTCCTCCCTCCTCCCTCCTCTCCTCCCTTCTCTCTCCCTTCTCTCTTTCCTCATCCTTATGCCTCTCTGCCCTATTTCCTCTCCCTCCTCTCTTTCCTCCCTTCTCCCTCCCCTCTCCTTCCTCTTCCCTCCCTCTTTCTTTCTTTCTCCCCTCTCTCTCTCTCTCTCTTTCTCTACCCCTCTTATATGTCTGTTTTGTTTCTCTCTCTCTCTCTCTCTCTCCCTCTTCCTCTAATCAACCGCCCCCCTCTTCGCTCCTTGTCTCCTGGCGTTTTCCCTCTTCCTTCGCCCCTGCCTCTCACTCTCCCTCGTTCTCCCCCTCCTCTTTTGGCAGGGCCCACACCACTTCCAATGGCGGGCACATGTACGCCCACGAAGGATTGTCCGCCCGTTCAGGTTTGCCCGCATGTCTAAGCCCGCCGCCCCCCGCAAAGAGGAATAATCCCCCCAAAGGTGGTGTGATCGAAGACAATCAGGGCGGGTATCGAGGGTGTGGGGAACTCGTTTTGAAAAACACGCGGGCGAGTAAGAGCGAACAGTCTTATAATGATTGTTGTTGTTGGTGCTGCTGCTGCTGTTGTTGGTGTTGGTGTTGGTGTTGGTGTTGGTGTTGGTGTTGGTGTTGGTGTTTCTGTTGTTGTCGTTAATTACCATACAATTATTATTGTTGGACCCCCCAGGGCGCCCTGGCGCTCTCGCCTCGGCGTTGGCTACATTTTCATTGAAAATAAGGCTCACGCTTGAGCGGTTTGGGGGGACGCCAAAACTGGCAACGACGACGCTCCCGCTCGAGACTTCCTTTTCTTGAACCCAGAGCCGGTGCTCTTGCCCGCCGCCGAGAAACTTTCGCTCCCGCTCGAGACTTCTCCCCGTGTTACCTTAGACTGGCGCGTTTTTTTTTGTTTTGTTCTCTCTCTCTCTCTCTCATCGGCGCCGCTCCCAGCAAGAACAATTCTCCCGCTCGAGACTTCCTCCTTTTTTGCTCAGAGCCGGTGCTTTTGCTCGCCGCCGAAAACCGCCGCCCCAACAAAACCAGCGCTCCCGCCCGAGACTTCCTCCCGTTTTACGCGGGACTGGCGCCCAACTCTCTTTTGAATTGGCGCCGCCTCGAGCAGGAACAACGCTTCCGCTCGAGACTTCCTTCCTTTTTCTTGAAGACGGTGCTGTTCCTCGCCGATGACAGCCCCCGTCCCGACAAAACCGCGGCTCCCGCTCGAGACTTCTTCTGTTCTTATTCAAGGCGGTGTTCCACCTCGCCGCCGACAATTGCCGTCCCAACAGAACCAGCGCTCCCGCTCGAGACTTCGTGTTGTTTCACGCTGGCCTAGCGCCCTACTCCCTTTGCATTTGCGCCGTTCCCAGCAACAACAGCACCCCTGCTCGAGATTCCCCCCGGTCTATTCAGGGCTAGGTCCTTGCCTCGCCGCCGACAGCCCCAATCCCCACCAAGCCAATCATGTCGCTTGATACTTCCTTGTGCTTTACCCTTGGCTGGGGCTCCACTGGCGGTCTCGCATCGGCGCAGCAGGGCGCGTGCATGTGTTTTCGAGGCGGGATATCTGGAAGTTCCTTGGATGAGGTGTTTGCAAGACTTCATTGAGCGGGATATCTGGGAATGACAATATCGGACCCCCGCGATAGAACATTAATCCCCCATGATGGGGATGGTTATCATGATGGTCGCATGCTGCGTGTGGGCGCATCGCTCATGAGGGTACAACGTTTGCTGTTGTTGTTGTTGTTGTTGTTGTTGTTGTTGTTGTTGTTGTTGTTGTTTCACTACCGAAGAATAATGATTGTTGATCCCCCCGTCCGGTGCACATTGCATCTTTCAATTAAAGTGCCCCTCCCGGCGCTCGCTGTTTTTAATCAGGGAAAATATTCGTCCTCAAAGTGCGCCCCTGGCCCCCAGGTTACAACAACAACGGCTTCCGCATTTAACCAGGACCCCCGCTCCCGCCCGAGACCCCCTCCATTTTATACAGGAATCGCGCTCTCGCTTGGGACTTCCCCTAAATTTATTCAGGAATCGCTTTTTCGGCGCTCTGGAGTCGCGCTCTCAATGGAGACTTGCTGTCAATTTCAAGGCTAGCGCCCTTGCGTTTGAATGTCCCGCAATTTGCTCAAGTGCCGCGCTCCCGACACTCAGGCACCCAGGAGTCGCGCTCACGTTTAGGACTCCCTCACAGGTTATTTAGGAATCGGAATCTCGCTGCCCTTTGTGGCC